TGGTGAATGGTGATCATAGCCTCATAGGTCTCTGTCATCATTTTATAGCAGCTTTTGTTCGTGGTTTTCTCCTTAAATTTTCATTTGGTTTGGCTTTCATTCTCCATCTTTTTTGTTTCACTTCCATTGTTTTAAATTTATTATTAATTCAATGGAGAATGGCCGACTGGAAGAAAGAAGTTATGAAGAGATTAATCTATCTGGCCTTTGCCCTCTCCCCTCTTCACTGGTTGGAGAATACTGTGCGGCTGAAACTAGGGAATAGGAAGAAAGCTTGTAGAATGACAATTTCGCCCTTAATATTAACATTCAACAAACAGAAAATTTAACGGAGGACTAAAGTGGGTAAAAATTACATAGTTGGGGACTAACCATGTAAGAATAATAGTCAAGGATCAAATTGATAATTATGGCATAGTCAAGGGACCGTTTTGGTTATTAACTCTATAAATTTTGATTTATTGACTTATTCAGAACTTCTAACTAATAAGTATTGTTCATTGTTTTCATTTATGAGGTGGGATAGCTAGTCGCTTGATTGCCACTCATGTAGCCAATTTTGCTTATCTTGTAGGTTTAGAGTTCAAGTCCCAACAAAGTTTTGGCTTAACTTAAATCATGTATCTTTTAGTTAAGGTTAATTAGTTTTTTTTTTTTTTTTTTTTTTTGAGTTTAAATTCAATCTCTACCCTAATTCTAAAATCTCGGACTGTTGTCCCCCACCCAAAAAAAAAAAATTAAATAAAAAATACGCGTGGACTAACACATGGCTAGCATGCATGCATGAGAATAGTCCCTCCGGAGGTTCTCTCCTCAGGTTGTTAATCCCCTTCCCTCCATTCTTTCACCCCTTTTTTCTCCCTTATTCTCCTCTCATTAGATATGCCCTTATAAGGAAGTGTAATACTTTTGAGAAAAAAAGTAAAATGTACTTTTAGGGTGTGTTTAAAAATCAAGAAAATGACTACTGAAAAATGAGTCATTTTTCAGAAAACATTTTCATTTCCAGTGTTTGGTTGCATTCCAGAAATATGTCTTGATGTGTTTTGTTCATTTTCCAAAAAATGAATAGAATTGTATAATTAAACATTTTAATTGTTTTGTTAAGAATATAATAATAATAATAATAATAATAATAATAATAATAATAATAATAATTTTAAATATAATAATAATAATAATAATAATAATAATAATAATAATAATAAGAATAAGATATCAAAATAACTAACCAAAGTCTTGTAATTCACAATAACAAATCAAAACAATCAAAGTTTTACAATCTACAATTACAAACAAAGATTACTAATCAAAGTGTTGGTGTTGGTGGTAATAGCGGTGGTGGTATTATTTGTTATATAATAATAATAATAATAATAATAATAATAATAATAATAATAATAATAATAAGTTGTATAGTAGTGTGGTATGATGGCGGTGGTAGCGACGGTAGTGGTATAGTGGTGGTAGTGTTCTGGTGATGGTGTTGGTGATGATAATGGTGGTGGTGGTGTGGTGGAGGTGGCGACGACAGTGGTATTGTGATGGCGGTGGTTGTAGTGGTGGTGGCGGTGGTTGTGGTAGTGTGGTCGTGGACTGCTAATGGTGGTGTTGGTGTTGATGGTAGTGTGGTCGTGGATGGTGGTGGTGGTGGTATGGTGGTGATGTTGTTGGTGGTTTGGTGGTGGTGTGGTGTTGGTGTGAAAATTGGAAAATGACTTCGTCTCTTTCTTGGGGGAAGTCATTTACCAAAGACCTTGTGGTCCAATGGTATCAAGTTGTTCCCTCATAGGGGAGGTTGTGGGTGCAAGCCTCAATGTAATTCTTTTTCTATTATGAGGAAAAATGTGATACTTTTGATGAAAAATGTAATCCTTTTAAATCAAAATGTAATATATATTAGAGGTTGAAGAGTTTCTTATGAGTAAAATTGTACTCCTTCTATCCTATTTTACATGTCTTACAACCACGTATATTGATTTTTAAAGAGTAAATGGGACAACGTTGTGAGTAAACTTAACATTCCTGTTTGGTAAAATAGTTAGCCTATAGGTCAATTTTAGCTTATTTGATCACTATTAGTTGTTTGACTTGGTTTAAAAATTAATATAAGTGTTTGGTTAATTAGCTTTTTGTACTCCAAAATGCTAAAATTCAAAAAGCTACTCAAAGCAACTTTTTCAATTAATTTTTTGAGAAAATAAATTATACCAAACAGCTATCAGCTAATAGCCATTTACCAAACATGGTACGTATTCTGTATTTAACTATTAGATTGGTAAGCATAATACAATATCACAAATATTTCTCCAATACGACAAATATTTCCCCTCCCCAAAGGCTGATTTTTAGATTTTTGTGGCCCAGTTCTTGTAAATAAATGAAAACCTACAAAAAACGCAATCTTTAAAATCAATATCGTAATTTTTTTTCAAATAATAATAATAATAATAATAATAATAATAATAATTCCTATTGTAATCTATATCTATATATACTATATATAAAAACAAAATGCTGAACTTTTAACTTCCCGCCCAATTCCTAAAAAATCTCTCTTCCTAATAAAATATTTTGATTTCTACTTTCTCATTCGTACAATAATTCTGGGTAAAAATTCTATTCTAATATTATGAAATAGTGTAATACAATTCCTATTGTAATCTATCTATACTATATATAAAAACAAAATCCTGAACTTTTAACTTCCCGTCCAATTCTTAAAAAATCTCTCTTCCTAATAAAATATTTTGATTTCTACTTCCCATTCGTACAATAATTCTGGGTAAAAATTCTATTCTAATATTATAAAATAGTATAATACAATTCCTATTGTAATCTATACTATATATAAAAACAAAATCTTTGAACTTTTAACTTCCTGCTCAATTCCTAAAAAATCTCTCTTCCTAATAAAATATTTTGATTTCTACTTTCCCATTCGTACAATAATTCTGGGTAAAAATTTTATTTTAATATTATAAAATAGTGTAAAATTCTATACTATATATTAGTGTTGCAAAAAATCGTGTCGCTGGCCGCGGCGAGGAAGGCCGAAATCGGCCTCCTCCGCTGCCGCCTCGCCGGCTGAACCGGCGATTAATTTTTTTTATTTTTTTATTTTTTAAGTTGTAATGTGACAAAAGTTCGGCAAGGCATAACTTTTGACTCGGTTGTCCGTTTTGGACAAATGTTTTTTGAAATCGCGTATTTTTTCGAGACTTATCCATCGCAAACCGCCGTAGGCGGTTTGGCCCACCAATTTCTTAAAAAAAAATGCTTTATTAACGTAAGAATTATAACATAGAATAAATTGTAATAATTAATAACTATAGTCTAGGATTAAATTTAGAATTGTCAGGAAAGATAAGCGACCTCTGGTGAAATTAACTCTTAAATAATTATAAATCGATTTAAATATTCTTAATATATTACAACAATTCCATTCCGTGCATCACACGGGTGAAATACTAGTAATAATAATAATAATAATAATAATAATAATAAGGTGGTAAAATGCTGGTGTGCGCAAAGAATTTAAAAAAAAAAAGCAAAATGATTTAAAAAAAAAAAAAGGTACAAATAGACCATTGAACTATTTGGTGAATAGCAATTAAGCCACTGAACTAGAATAAGCTCCAAATTCATCCATGAACTTGAAAAAAAAGAACAATTAGCATTTTTAAAAGATTAACAACAGGTTTGGACGGCTAAGGTGTCGGTTACTGTATTTAAAACTAATTTTTTATACTTTATTTTAATAATTTCAAATAAAATAATTATTTTAAAATTAAAAAAAAAGAAAAAAGAAAAAAGAAATAAAATAGCCTGGCCGGAGACGTAGCGGTTACCGCTTCGTCTCCGGCCAGCCATGGAGATGAAGCGGTCGGACCTCTTCGTCTCCGGCTAGCAATGGAGACAGTACCATTTGTCTCCATGGTGCCCGGATATGAAGGGGACCCTTCCTCTCCATAGCGGCCGGAGTCTCCATGACTGGCTAGCTGGAGACGAAGGATCCCCTTCGTCTCCGGGCAGCCATGGAGGTTTTTTTTTTTTTTTTTTTTTTTTTTTTTTTAAATTTTCAAAATAATTATTTTATTTGAAATTATTAAATAAAATTTTAAAAATTATTTTCAAATACAGTAACCGACACGTCAGAGAATTAAATCAGGAAAATATGGCTCCAAAAAGAAGGTCAAAATAATAATAATAATAATAATAATAATAATAATAATAATAATAATAATAATAATAATAATAATAATAATAAAGTATACACTTGGCATCCTGATCGGTGCAAACATGTCGTTAACCTGCTAAAAATGCTAATTGTTCTTCTTCTTTTTTTTTTCCAGGTTCATGGATGAATTTGGAGGTACCCTCCCCCCTCCCCACACACACTATAAAAATGTATTTTTTACCATTTTATTTCAATTTAATATCTTAACTAACTAGGTAAAAATTAAATATTGGACCCTTTAAAATTTGAGGTCCTATGCAAACAACACAGCCCAACATCCGGCCCTGCCTCCCCCAACTTTTCTTCTTTGGATCACCTTTGGTAGTCTTTTTTGCATAATGAAATACCAAGAAAGCATGTAGAAAATTATAAAAAAGAAAAGAATGTTATAAATAATATTGATGGTGGACAATATTTGTAACGGACACATTTAGTGACCATTATGTAGACTATTTATCATTCCTTTATATTGTGTACCCTTGGATTATGTATGAGGATGAATGAGAATATCCCTCCCCATTCTCTGTACTTTTCTTCTCTCTACAGTTTGATTTCACAACAAAGAATAGTATTGTGTGAGCATTTGGATTTGACAAATTCATACAATTTGAAATTTATTGTATGAGTAATTGGGACATAGCATTAGGATTCTTAAAGAACCACATATATTAATTTTTCAAACTGTAATTGAGACAACGCTGGGAATAAACTTTAAACATTTTACATATAGGAAAGAAAAGTAGTATTGTGTGAGCAATTGATACATTTTTATGCAATCTATGGGAAATTACTACAATTAAGCAGCAAGTGAAATGCCTAAAGAAGAGAATAGACAATCAGAGTGGCATGGTTTTATGAAGCATGTGTTATAAACTCTCACAGCACGTTTGGTTCACGGAATGAATTTGGAGGGAATAGGAATGCTATTTCACATGGAACGGAATAGGTAAGGAATAGAATAAGAATTGTATTCTGTTGTTTGGTTGGCTGAAGGAATAGACTTTATTAATTGTATTCCAGTGTTTGGTTGGTTAAAAGAATAGAAATGGAATAGGTTTTAAAGACACAAATACCCTTATACAAAATAATAATAATAATAATAATAATAATAATAATAATAATATGATTATGATATACTGAATATTTTATATATATATATATATATATATATATATATATATATATATATATATATTTATTTATTTATTTATTTATTTAATTAATTATTTATTTATATATTTAATTATTTATTTATATTTATATTTATATACATGTATATGCGTGTGTGTAAGAGAGAGAATAATGATAATAATAATAATAATAATAATAATAATAATATTATTATTATTATACAAATACATATTTATATTTATATTTATTTTCTCACTTATCCCACATCGGTTAGAGAAGTAAGGAAAGGAGCCTCAAGGCTCCATAATTTCAATTGCAATGCTCATCTGCTAGGCAAGCTTGCAATGCCCATCCGCTAGGCATGCAGATGGGCAGACTACTTAATTTAGGAGCCAGGCTCCATAATTAAGGAGTCAGTTAATTTCTTTTATTTACATACATACATACATACATACATATATATATATATATATATATATATATATATATATATATATATATATATATATATAAACTGTCAAGGGATGCCAATTGCAAACGCTGCAAAATGTGTGTGTGTGTGTTTGTGTGTGTGTGTGTGTGTATATATATATATATATATATATATATATATATATATATATATATATATATATATATATATATATATATATATATATATATATATAATATATTATATTTATTAAATAAATATAAATATTATATAATGTGTAAAGGGTATTTTGGTATTTGTAATATAAAAGCTATTCCCAAGGGCATGGGAATAGCTAATACCAAGGCCCCCCCTAGGAATGGTTATTCCCCTTGCGAAGGTAATAGCTCATTCCTAGGCATGTTACTCCCATGACAAAATGATCCAACCAAATGATGGAATATGTCTATTCCAAGGAATGTTATTCCATTCCTGACTTATTCCATGAACCAAACATGCCATTATGGAAGTAGCATTCTTGGGAATGAGCTATTTCCTTTGCATGGAGAATAACCATTCATAGGGACCTTGGTATTAGAAGAAGACGCATCACTAATTTTCTTGAAAGAATTTGACATTGCTAAAGGGTGTTGCTATTTGCACCCCTTTTGACCAAAATAGGGTATAAAGTACATTGAAAATATAAAAAAGTAGTAATTTATAATACATACATAGGTGGTGCATATAGCCTAATGGGTGGTCAAAATGCTATTTGCACCACCTAGTCAAATTGCATTTATTAGATTTAAGTAATAATTAATTAATTCAAAATTTAATTCTTTAAAAACTAAAAAAAAAAAAAAAAAAAACAAAACGGTCACCTTCTCCGGTGAGAAGGCAAGGGATTGCCTTCTCACAGCCTAGTGGGTCGCCTTCTCACCGGAGAAGGCGACCCACTTGGCTGCCTTTCGCAAATTATGCTGTGGACTCGTGTCCACAATGCATTGTGGACACGAGTCCAAAACGACGTCGTTTTTCGAAAAAACGCGGCATTCCAGTTTAACAAAAAAAATTTGATTTTGTCTCGCCGTTAACGGCGTTATTCGTTTGTGGCATTATGAATGTACAATTATGGTATTATGAATGTACAGTTATGGAATTATGAATGTAAGTTATGAAATTATGAACACAGAGCTTTGACATTATGGACTTACAATATTATGAACATATAGTGATAAAATTGTGAACATAGAGCTCTAAAATTGTGAACATAGAGTTTCGAAAATTATGAATGTACAGTTATGGAATTATGAATGTACAGTTAGGGAATTATGAATGTACAGTTATAGAATTATGAATGTATCGTTATGGAATTATGAATGTACAGTTATGGAATTATGAACACAGAGCTCTGACATTATGAACTTACAATATGAACATACAGTGATAAAATTATGAACATAGAGCTCTAAAATTGTGAACATAGAGCTTCGAAAATTATGAATTTAGAGTTATTGAATTATGAATGTACAGTTACGGAATTATGAATGTACAGTTATGGAATTATGAAGGTACATTTATGGAAGTATGAATGTACATTTATGAAATTATGAACACAGAGCTCTGACATTATGAACTTACAATTATGAACATATAGTGATAAAATTATGAACATATACTCCTATAACGAAGCGGTCTGAAATTTTTTATTTTTATTTTTTAAAAAAGTGAAAGATAACAGTGCCACTAACGGCACCGTTACCGTGTCCACATTGCATGCTGGACATGGGTCCATAGCATAATGATTGACTGCCTTCTCACCGGAGAAGGTGACGTTTAGTTTTTTTTTTTAATTAATAATTTGATTATAAAAAAAATATAAAATAAATATTAGTCTTTGACCACATTAAATGATGGTGGTGCAAATAGCAATTTTTAATGAGCACCACCTATAAAGTGGTTTGATCTATTAAATAGGTGATGCAAATACTAAACGAGGTGGTGTGAATAGAATTTCCCATTGCTAAATATTAATCGTATTTTTGTACCATAAAAAGAAGACTTATCGAAACTCCCTTTCACATCATAGCTCTCTCAATCACCTTGACATTTAATTTTAAAGTTATCCTTATTTTGAGTGAAAAAAAATTGCTTGACCTCTAATTCACGATACTTTTACATAAAAACTAATGGATGACTATTAGTTGTAACTCTATAGCCGGCCCGACTCTGTGCAAGGGCAAGCTGGACCCATTTTGGGAGGGAACCCACCCACCCCCTACGTATGTTTATATAGTATATTTATAAATATAAGTAAACAATATACACAAATTTTATACAAAGACAATGTGACTTAGTTGGTAAGTAATGTTATTTTTGTTATAAAGGTTACATGTTCAAAATTTGTTATTGACACTCTAAAAATATTTTTGCCCTATATACTTTATAAGAGTAATTTATAACCACACTTTTGATAAATTTTATACTTATATTTATAACATGTATTTTTTCGTGAGCGTTATAATGAGTTATGAATTGTAAAGATTATATTTTTTGATTCAGTTATGGAAAAAACAAATTAAAAGATAGAGTTTTTTTTTTTTTTTTTTTAAATGAATCATCTAGTCAATGTCATTTCAATATAAAAAATGTATGATTTATAATGTGTTTTCTATTCAAACCATTTTATTCAATTAATTATGTTTCATATTTTGTTATGAATATTTTTATCGCGTTTTAAAATATTTTGATTTCTCACCTCCCGTCAAAAAGTTTTAAACTCTGTCAATGTTTGTAAGTTTTGTTTTATAAATTTATATTAGAAATTAATTTATTATTTATTATGATAACAATTTTTATTGTTTGTAAGTTTATTTATTTAATTTTAAATTTTTTATTCTTTTTTATAAATTATAATTATTTATTTATGAAGACACTGATGCAATTATTGATTATTTTACACTTAAGAAAAGTATCTATAATTTTTTTTATGATTATTGTTGTGTATGTAAAATTTTTAAAACTTTGTGAATCTTATTTCAAGTTATTTGATATTAGTATTTTTTTATGTAATTTAAATTGTAGGTATAAAACTATATGTTAACTTTAGGTAGGCCCTATTTTTTTCCGAGCCTATAAAATGATAAGATCAGGCCTGCTCTATAGAAATTCACAAATTATGCCGTGGAAACGTGTTCACCATGCTTTGTGAACACGTTCCAAAACGGCGTCGTTTTTACCGAAAAAAAATTAGTTAATGTGCTGTTAACGGCGTTTTGCATTCTATGTTTAGATTATGAATTTACATTTATTAAATTATGAATTTCCTGTTATGAGATTATGAATTTACAGTTATGTAATTATGAATTTTCTGTAAATTCATAATCTCATAACAGAAAATTCATAATCTCATAAAAGAAAATTCATAATTTCATAACTGCACATTCATAAATCCATACCTGCACATTCATAATTTATGAGTGTTGAAGAAGCTTGCGCGAAGAGGAAGTGAAACTGCGAAATGTGAAAATGAAGAAGAAAAGTCGCGCTGTTAATTAAGAAAAAAATAATAATAACGGTGTCACTTACGAGCACCGTTACCGTTTAGGACCGTGTTCATCATGGATGGTGAACACGGTTCCATGGCATAACGATAATAGAAATTCAATTGTTATGCCGTGAGCACGTGCTCATCTCGCATGGTGCACACAAATCTATATCCATAATTTCTATACTGTAGATCCATAATTTATATACTCTCAGTGAGCCAAAATTTATACTTTAGATTCATAATTTTAGCTCATCGAGAGTCTAAAAAATTATGGATTTACAGTATAGAAATTATGGATATAGATTCGTGTGCACCATTGCATGTGCATGGTGAGCACGTGCTCACACCATAATTTGTGATAGAAATTGAATGACTTATTGTGGTAGGCTTGTAAGTTGAAGGCCAAAGCTGTTAGTGCCTCAAATTTAGAGGACTTTTAGTGGAATTTACTCTTTTTTTTTTTTTTTTAATTTGACTGCAAGTTTCTTGTGTGTGTCAAGTTGGACATAAGGGGAGAGGTCAATGTGAAAAAGATTCACGTCATCTTATATACGTCCTAGTAAAGTAAAGTTCAAGGGCCTATATTCAAGAATGAAAAGGAAATAAGTGGTATAAAGACTAAAATGTCCTTGTGTAATAATAATAATAACAACAACAACAACAACAACAACGACAATGAGAACGACTCAGCCCAAATACATACAGCCCATATATTAGAACCTCCAACCCGTTTCAACCCAAATCTTAGCATTTCACTTTGTATCCTCCATTTCACCTTCCACAAGAATCTACATTTTTTTTTGAAACAAACGAAACCATTCTATTAATTGCATAATAAATCAGAAATACAATCAGGTGGCACATGAAGCCACATCCCGGAGCCAGTCATAGAATCGGTCGCCCGAGCTAACGCATGAGCTACACAATTCGCTGTTCTCCTAACATGGGATAAAGTAGAAACCCCAATGTCCTTAGCAATCGAACGACATTGCTTTACAATCAATCCTATGTACGAAAAATCATTACAGTTGGAATTAAAAGCAGTACATAAATTTAAACAATCCGACTCGAGAATAATGTTATTAAAATGTTGCTCCCTCAACCAGTTCAACGTTGTCATGACTGCCAAAGATTCGGCCACAAAAGGATCGCGGTCGTTGCCCAACCTACCGCCACACGCAGCTACAAACCATCCTTCGTGATCTTGGATGATTGCACCATAACCTGCGCCGTGTTCGAAAATGGCCGCATCCACATTACACTTGAGGACGTTTGATGGCGGTGGTGCCCATAGATGTCGTGCAACTGAACTCGCTGCGGTATTGCGTCGCTTGCCAAATGTCGAGCTCCAGGTAGACTGAAGTTCAACAACCCGATTCCGTGACGCCAAAGAGGGAGGGGATTTATCATGCCAGACCACATCGTTTCGAACTTGCCATATTGTCCAAATTACTGCTGCTTGCTTTGTCGCCTCTGTTCTCGATGGATTACTGATCACAAGCTGCAAATAGTTGAGGAAATCAAGCCCTCTTAGAACATCAACCTGCTCCCATACCTCCAGTGCGAAACTACACTCACAGAACAGATGACTCACCGTCTCAACCAGAAAACCACAAATTGGGCAGCCTCCACCGATCCACACCCTCTTTTGTCTTAGAGCGTCGCGTACTGGTAGAATACCTCTAGCGCACCTCCAAAGTAGATTCTTTACCTTGGGCGGTATTGGTAGAGTCCAAAGAGCATCCCATGCCTGAAAAGTGCCCCCAGTTTCATAGAGTGTCGTCTCGTTCATAAGAAGTTGATAGCCGTGTTGGACCGTGTATCGGCCACGAATATCGCCTACCCATCTCCAGCAATCCGGAATATTGATATTAATTGGGGTGGAAAAAATTCTAGCGACATCCTCCTCGTTGAAAAGGTCCCGGACTACTTCCTCGTCCCATCGGCCGTGTGCGTCAAGGAGACCATTAACAGTCGCATGGCGGAGTTCTTCAATGCAAGGTGTAGATAAGGATGTGGTGGACGAACTTGATAACCAAGGCCAGCCCCATATCAGCGTGTGCAAGCTATTACCAACTCGTCTCGCTATTCCCAACTGCAGCACCTGTTTCCCGGCTAAAATACTGCGCCACAAAAAGCTGGGATTTCCCCCGATTTGTGCCTCCATAAAGTCCGTTTTAGGATAGTACTTTGCCTTCATTATTCTGCTTACCAGGGACTCAGGTTGGGTTAATAGGTGCCAACCTTGCTTTGCCAATAGTGCAATGTTAAACTGATGCAACTTCTTAAAGCCCAGTTTCCCCTTAGATTTTGGTGTACACATCCTGTCCCAACTAAGCCAGTGAATGCCTCGAGTATGATTACCACCACCCCCCACCAAAATCGGTTGAACATTTTTTCTAGAGTATCGCAAACACGTAGGGGAAGTAAATAAACCGACATAGTAAAAATTGGAAGAGATTGTGCAATGCTTTTCAGAAGGACTTCTTTACCTGCCCGGGATAAAAATCTGTGCTGCCACGCCCCAATTCTCGACCGGATATTATTTTCAATATATTTGAACACAGCTACCTTGTGTCGCCCGAGTACAGAAGGTAGACCCAGATAGCGACCCAGGTCCTCATTCTCGTGAACACCAAAGAGATCAGAAACCAATTCTCGCGCCTGAACCGGAGTATTACGGCTAAAAACTGCGCTGGACTTATCGAAGTTTATGAGCTGACCCGAAGCCGTGCAATATAGATCAAGACAATTTTTAACACGTGAGGCTTCCTGTGGATTGGCCCTGAAAAAGAGCAAGCTGTCGTCAGCAAAGAACAGATGAGTGATGGCCGGAACACCCCTAGCCACCCTCACCCCATGAATGTCTCCCCGCTCTTCTGCCTGTTGCAGAAGAATAGACAGGCCCTCCGCGCAAAGTATAAATAAATAGGGCGACAAGGGATCACCTTGTCTAATACCCCGAGTGGGACAGACCTGACCCACGGTCGTTCCATTCACAAGAATAGAGTAGTTCACTGAAGTGACACATAGCATTAATAAATCCGTCCAATCTTTTTCAAACCCCAACGCCCTCATCATTCCCTCTAAGAAGGACCATTCCATCCTGTCGTACGCCTTAGCCATATCAAGCTTTAGCGCAGCCCACCCTATACTTCCCCCCGTCTTTCTACGTAAATAGTGCCCAATTTCGCCAGCCACTAAAATATTGTCTGTTAGGAGTCTGTCCGGGACAAAAGCACTCTGAGAGTGAGACACTATGTGTTCCAGATGTCCTTTTAATCTATTTGCCAACATTTTAGCTAGTACTTTGTAGATGACATTACAGAGGGCAATCGGCCTCAAATCTGACACCTTAATCGGATTAGATTTCTTGGGGATTAATACGATATTAGAATCGTTAAGACCTAAGGGAAAACTCTTAGTTTCCACACATTTGATGAGAAAGACAGCCAAATCATGTCCGACCACCGGCCAGAAATGCTGAAAAAAAGCCGGTGACATACCGTCAGGGCCAGGGGTTTTTTCAGGTGCCATGTCAAAAAGAGCTGCTCTTACTTCCGCGATCGTGAATGGTTGTCTCAGAGATGAATGCATCTCGTCTGTCACCTGTTCACGAACCCGATGAAAGAGGTCAACGCTACAAGTACTAGAGCTAAAAATAGAAGTATAGTACCTCAGGACTTCTGCATGCATTGCTTCGCCTTCTTGCCATATGTCGTTGTGATCTTGTAAACGCAGTAGCTGGTTCTGTTTGCGGCGTGCCGTAGCGGTTTTATGGAAGTATTTTGTGTTTGCGTCGCCATGCTTGAGCCAAAGCTGTTTGGATCTTTGACGCCAAAAAACTTCTTCAGATTTGAGTAAACCCTCCAGCTCATCCTCTGCCTCCCGAAAATTCATAATTCCTTGGGGGTTACGATCCTCTTTCAAGTTGACCAGAATTCGGCGCAGATGTTGAATACGGACGCCAAATCTCCGATGGTGGTCACCGCCCCATCTTCTCAGGTGTTCGCCACATGTGGTAATGCGGGACTGAAAGTCCATTCCCCGGGATAATCGCCAAGCATCGCCAACAACCTTAGCACAACCCTCCTCCAATAGCCAGGCTGACTCAAATTTGAAAGCCCGGGGTGCTGCGCGAACAGGTTCTGCATCTAATTTCACCATAATGGCACAGTGATCAGAAGACCTGGCAAAAAGATTATGAACGACCACATCCTCGTGCATATCCATCCATTCTGTAGTGGCCACCGCCCTGTCCAATCGTTCCTCCACCCATTCTTCGGTGCCGCGACCCTTCTCCCAAGTAAATCTGCCGCCACTCATTCCCAAATCAATTAATTGACAATCGCCGAACGCATCATTGAAGCCCTCGATCAGTGAAGCCGGATGGGGATGTATGCCTCGTTTCTCCGAATGACAAGCAATGTCGTTGAAATCGCCAACGACCGCCCACGGTAGAGGTGAGTCGTCCTTGAGTTGCCGAAGAAGATCCCACATGACGTGTCTGTTCGCCCGATCAGGTTCGCCGTAAAAGCCGGTGAGCCTCCAGGCCGGTCTACCGGGCAGTGTGATTTTCATGTCAATATGATTCTGTGAGAATCTAATTAAAGATGCCGCAGCCGCATCTCGCCATAGAAAAGCGAGACCCCCGCTCATGCCCGTCCGTTCCACGCAAATCTTGCCGTCAAAACCCAAACTTACACGCAGTTCTTCTACTTTATTAGTGGTTGCCTTTGTCTCCATCAAGAAGACAAACATGGGCCGGTGTTTGGACGTCATGTCCAGAAGTTCTCGAACTGTTCGGGTACCGCCCAGACCCCGACAGTTCCAACTGAGGAAACTCATCCGTCTTGGCGAGCCTGGTCTGCCAGACCAGCAATTCCAACATTTTTTGAGGTCTCCCCCATTGTGATATCAGTACCTGTAAGATCCACATCCTCCCTGCGTCGTTTGAGATCACCTTGAATTTCCCCTAGCGCTTCCATCTCTGCCAGGGCAGATGGTGTAAGACCCGCCGGTGGAACAGCCGAATTACCCACCGATGGGAGAGTATTAGAGAGCAGCCAGCGTGCCCCCACTGGTTTGACTTGACGCCGAGGACCAGCCCGCATCCATGAGCCGAAAGGGAAATCCTCGGGAAGAATTCCTTCATCGTACACTACCCGGCAAAATTTGTCTGAATGACCGAGCATTCCACAGCAATAACAGAAGGTGCTTAGCCGTTCGTATTTGAAGGTCAGCCAGTGTTCAGTCCCATCACGGCGTTTCAATTTCATTCGCCGTTTGAGGGGAGATGCAACGTTCAGTCGTACGCGAATGCGATAATAGCTTTTCTAAGACCCTCCAAAATTGAACGGATCTGTGGCAATGAAAGTGTCGATATCATTCCCGATTTTGGTGATGAAATCGGTTGAGGCGTACATCGCCGGTAATCCATGGACCTGGATCCAAAAAGGGACGGAATCCAGTAGCACGTCTTCCGGTCGAGCCCCCACCGGAACCTGCTCGCAGATCAGAAAGTTGTTTTCAAAGGACCATGACCCGTCATCAATCACCCGCTGAAGATCCCTCGGGTGAGGAAACTGAAATAGGAAGAGCTCGTCTGTCAGAGCCATCGCGAACATGCCCATGACTGGGCGCCACACGGAGGCGAGCACCTGCTGCAAATGTTCGAATCTGATCTGTCGATCCGTGAGGAGTCGAACGACCAGATTATTCTGGATCGTGGCATCCGGAGTCAGCGGTATCTCTGGCGCCTCCAAACCCCCAGCCTCTTCCGCAGCCAAAGACAAACCGGCGCATTGTTTCTCAATTTGGGAGAGATCCATGGCGATTGGATACCAGGGAAACGGATAAAGAATTAGCGGAAAAATAACACACAGCATGATCAGGACATCCATCGGGGACGATTAAAAAAAGCAATAAACAACAACCCTAGACGCCTAGGGAGAACACTCTCTCAGAGCACGTATGAGAGAGAGGGCCACGTTTGAAGGTGGAGATCGCCGATCACGATCGGAGATGGCGGAGAGTGCGGAGCATTACGAGAGCCTTCTATCATAGTACTTGTTCACAAGAATCTACATTAGTTCTTTATTTGTTGTACATCGAAGTTCATATTACCGACCGGTGGACGACAACATCTATCGACCTTTACTTCTTGCAAGGTAAAATTAGACTTTGAAAACATCCATCGACCTTTACTTTTTTTTTTTTTTCCTGAACAAAAGCTTCACAATGTAAATGTTTAATCTCACTAAGTCAGGTAGTACTCGAGAAAAGGCATAGATGGGGCTATGAATTTGTGCAGGAATGAAGCTAAAATTAAAGAATAACTACTAGGAAAATAAATAAATACACAAAAACTATTCCTGGGCTATTAATGTGCATAATTTTCAACAATTTTGGTGTTTTATACTTGATTAGAAGAGCTAAACCACAAAATACACAAAAACCAAGTGATTACACAGGTAACTACAAATTCAATACAATTTGCTTGCACAATTTACTCAAACATGAAACTAAACTCTAAAAAGCAAGAATACATATGGCATTTGTACTTGTTTGTTATTTCTTTTGCAATTTTTTGTTGTCAAGATGTTGTTGTTTGATATATTCTTGGGAATTTTGTGGATGAAGGTGTCCTTGGATGAACTATACAGTCAGATCCAGCAACTTTAAGACGAAAACATTCAAACCACTGTTGTAGCTGAATTCGTAGTTCTCTTCGATGATAATCCTGAAAAACTACTCAACCATCTCAACATACCTCTGTAAGTTTCCTTACTCACCCCACACTGCATACATAATTATATACAAGTAATGTATAGGGAATGATTACTAATAGAAAGGCTTGCAGTCAATAGCAGTCCACTTCTTTTAAAAATTATGGATTTTTTTTTCATTTTAAGTTTCAACAGCTTGTACTCAAATGGTTATGCATTCAATGCATCTACATTAGTTCTTTATTTCCTGCTAATTGTTTCCTCTTGTTAATGAATTAATTAATTATTTTCGACGGCGAAATATCGCAACAACTCAAATTGATGAACTAAGATGTATTTATATAGGTACATGGACAACTATCATTATAGGATATTAATGCTAAACCAACGATTTAATTTCCAATGCATCTCGGAAATAATACATGCATTAATACAAAGCAGCCTGCAAATATACATATCAACGGTCGTCGGCTGATGCATCCAATGTTGGATAGAGCCGTTGAAACGGTCTCCCGGGGCTGGACGGACCAAAACACACCAAAGCCCGCCTTTGTAGCGGGGCGGGCTAAAAAGCCCGCCTCTTAGTGGGTTTAGAATGTGGCCGCCCCGCCCCGCCATGCCAAAGCCCGTTGGCGGGGCGGGCCAGCCCGCCAGCCAATATTTTTTTTGTAATTAGAAAAGATTTGCTGTATTGTAGGCTTGTAGTTACACTAATGTGTAACTGTTTTAATTTTAAAAAATGACATGCAAACTAACAATATGTATTAAATACTAAATATCAATACAAATTCAAATAACTAACTAAAAGAAATTATCCAAACTTTCAAGTTTCTATTCTACATTAGGAATTAAAATAAAATAGTTTTGTAAATACTAAACTTCTAAAACTCATAATTCATCAACCATTATATCATTCAAATCATGTTCTTCTTCTCCTTGATCTCTATCATCATTGATTTGGAAATTGGGAATTGCGAATTGATTTGCGAAGCCTACTGCAATATATATTTTTTAATATAGATTAGCAGGCTGCGGGTTTATCGCCTGACCCGCCTCGCTTGGGTCCGTGACCCAGGCGGGGTGGGCTAAAAAGCCCGCTTCCTAGCGGGTGAAATAATCAAGAACCCGTCCCTTACCTACGGCGGGACAGGACGGGTCGACTCGGCGGGTAAAATCCATTTTGACTGCACTAATGTTGGATAACGAAAAGTTCGAAAAACATTTATTTAAGGAATAAGGCTCAAATAGGCCACTCAACTGTACACCAAAGTGCAATTAGGCCATCGAAGTAAAAAAAAAAAAATGCAATTGAGTCATTGAACAACACAAATTCATGCAATTAGGTCTAAAATGACATGTTTACCTGCTGTGGAGGTTTTGAATTTTAAAATAATTTTAAATAAAATAATTAATTAAAAAAAAAAAAAAACACGTCTGGAGACTAACCCTGCGAACTTCGTCTCCCTGGCATGGCCGGAGATGTCTCCGGCCATGGAGACAGAGACGAACTTCGTTTCCTCGATGGCCGGAGACGTCTCTAGCCCAGGGAGACGATTCGTCTCCACGGCCGGAGACGTCTCAGGCCATGGAGGAGACGAAGGTCTCCTGGCCATGGAGACCTTCGTCTCAACGGCCGGAGACGAGTTTTTTTTTTTTAATTGATTATTTTATTTAAAATTATTTTAAAAACTATTTTTTAAATCCACAACTGCCACGTCAGCAAAGTTTAAGGTAAACATGTCATTTTGGACCTAATTGCATTAATTTATGTTGTTCAGGGACCCAATTGCATTTTTTTTTAGTTCGATGGCCTAATTGCCAATCATTATTGTGTGGACCATGGTCCATACAAGTTGTGTGGACCATATTTTGTATATTGTAAAATAATGTATATTCAGTACAAAAATAATGTACATTCAGCACAAAAATAATGTACATTTAGTATATTAAAAATGTATCTTTTGTTATGGTTCACATAACACTGTGTGAACCATGGTCCACATAATAATTTGTCCCTAATTGCACTTTGGTGTGCAGTTGAGTGGCTTATTTGACTTTTATTACTTTATTTAATTAAGCCAAATATTGTAACAGACAAAACGATATTATTTGGGCGGAAACTTTTTCCTTTTTTTATTTATCAAAAAGGTTGTGTTTTATTATGATATAGAGGATAGAGGATAGAGGATTATTATTATTATTATTATTATTATTATTATTATTATTATTATTATTATTATTATTATTATTATTATTATTATTATTAATAATGAATTATGAATTATTATGATATGATGTTGAGTACTTAAACTGATTTTTTCCTTCCCGCCTTAGGAATCAACATCTCGAGCTTTCCAGTTTTCACATATACGGGAGCCCCAACACTTCCACGTTATAAACCGCAAGATCCAATCATCTACTGGGGCCCACGTAAAATCATTCATTGACTACTGAAAGTCAAACAAACCATCAACCTTTCGGTAGAGCCGACCATACCGTAATAAAGCTCCCAATTTCGGTCTCGGATCAGTCAAAACCCGAACCCTAGTTCGCAGTCTGTGGTAAAAAAAAGGACCGTTGAATTAAACAGAAAATAAGAAAAACAGAGCATAAAACAAACCAAAAGCTCACTGAAATCGTGGTGAAAATTGTTTTTGGACTTGGAGGAGAACGAAAATGGAGGTTGGAGAGAGCAGTGAGAGTCCGGTGGAAACGAAGACGAAAAGCAAGGCCAAAACCGCTCGAAAACCCAAAGAAAGCGCGCTAAAATCCAAAGAAAGCGCGCTAAAACAAAGTATCTTCTGCTTAATTGTTTCCAATTTCAGCTTCTTTCTATTGATTTTCACTCTCTGGAATTTAGAATTTGTTTCTTTATTCTTATTTTGCAGAATCTCCTGCTGAGTTCTTTGCGGACAACAAGAACATCGCTGGTTTTGACAATGTGAGTTACCGGTTGCCATTTGTATTCTATATTTGAGTGTTTGTTCTAGTCACATTTATTATTAAGCTCTAATAATTCTGTGCATGCTTTCACTACATTGTAAAGAGGTGATC